AAGATTTTATTTTTTTTCGCACATTATACTGAAATAAAATTTAAAAACCAGTTAACTTTTTTTTTTGTGGCCCTAATCCTCTTCGACAGTTTCGAGATGGGAACATCTGACTGATCATTGAGGAGAACTCTGGCAGGATTATGATAATCCAGACAGATATAAAGGTTTGGTTTTCTTATTGGCAGAACTGAGCCTCAGATTATGTTGAATTTGAGGCATTCAGCCCATTCAGCACCCAGAGATCCACCAGAACCTCCGAACTCTGTCTCAGGTTCCTCCTTTATGCCTGCAGCTGAGCCTAAGGAGATCCGTTTAAATGGACAGAAGTTCAGTTTATTTCAGGTTTTTGTTTGTTTCCAACAACCAAACATGTTGGAGCTCCTCTGCCTGCAAACCGCAACCCTGGAACCTGATCCCGCATGATTTATTCAGCGCGAGGCATTGATGCGGCCTGCAGGAGGAGGATGATGATGAGGAGGAAGAGGAGGAGGCCCCATAACCCTGGTGATGCGGGACCCCCCCATACCCTGGTGATGCGGTCTCCCCATCACCAGAGGACATGCACGAACATGCACGCGCTCAGCAAACCCAAACCGTCTCCTTACGTGGCCTCCACGGTTCCGGGCTTTAGCACCACCTCGATCTTGTACTTGGAGCCCGTCAGCAGCTTGATGGTTCGGCTCTGACCGAAGCGGCTTCCGTCCACCTTGAAGAAGACGGGTCCGTCGTTCGGCTGGATCCGGAGGGCGATCTGGATGATGATGATCGGCGGGACGTCGTCCATGTTCCCGGGATGATGCAGCTTCTCCTGGACTCCGAGCTGGAGGAGAGGATGCTGAGGAGAGAGCCGCTGCACGGATACTGCTTCCGGTCCAACCTTTCACAATAAGAGCGAATCCGGATGGAGCCCGCAGCTCTCCTTTAGGTTCAATTCATCCGATTCATCAATCCGAGTGTTTATGTTAAATTTACTGATTTTAAACTCTCTCTATGGAACCTCACGTTTTATTTAATTTATCCTATAAATTGAGATAAAGTGTTTTAATGATTTATGTCTCTGATTCAGATCAAAGTTTCCACATTTTGATTATAATCCTGTTTAATTCACCTTCATTTATTTTCTATTCCTCTGTGATTCTCCTGATCACCCTAATTAAAATTTTGAGCCCAAAGGACACATTTATATTTATCCTCCATGAATAATGATTCTATATATAGGATTTTTTTTAGGATAAAATTGTCCATTTTATGCATTAGTTTATTATTAACTATGTAGAATCTTTAGTTATACATGGAAAACAAAGTATTAGTGGTGGGACCAGATTGATACAGAGGACCAGTTTAAGCTTGTTAGAGACAAACTTATCTATAGTGGTGACCCCCTAAAAAGTAATATGTCACTTTATATTTATTAATGTAATTGTGACGTGATGTTATATTAATTCACACATCTTAAAGTACACATGCATTATTTTTTATTACCTTTCGTAATGTTCCCTCTCCTTTTTCATTCCGTCTTTTTTCTTAATCTTTTTATTTTCTCCAGTTTGTCCCTAAAATCATATTTGCTATTCTTAGCCTCAGCAAATCTTATAATGAGATCAACAGTCAGTAACCTAAGAACCCCCAAAGCCGGAAGTTTTACTGTTAATTTAAAAAGAAAAAAAAAATCATGATTGATTTCTCATATTCATCAAAAACAAACCAAAACAAATTTAAAGCTCACTTCAGAATGACCTGTTGGCTTTCCTGTCTTCAATGGGGCAATAAAACCGGTGTACTTATAAATTTAAGGGGAAATCTATAAGTACAAATTTAAGGGGACATTAGAGAAATTAACTCTGCATTTAACCCAACCGCCTAGATTTGCCTGTTAGTTACTCCACCCCGGCTGTGCACATCATATCCACCATCATACGCACTGCTGCTGTTCGTCCTTCTGTCTGTTCGTAGACATTCACATTTGCTGCTGTTTGTGTACAAATTCTTTGTCTCATTCCTTCATATCTGTCTGTTTTTTTATCACAAAGTCTCTTAATCCTCATGGACTTCACTCTAAGGACTTTTATTATTCTGAAGAGTCAGAACTGAACTTGGTCAGGGAGCTTTTAAACACACTGCTTCCTCTGCCTGGAATGAAGCCTAAAACTATCTGAAACTAACCATGATGGTGACTACCGGGAAATTTAAGGTCCTTCCTGGAGGCCCACTATAACTGTCCGTTTAGCCAGTTTTAAGTGAGTAATTCAAAGTATATTTCATTTTATTGTTTTTTTCTTTTGCTGCCCTTTACAAGTCCCTCCTGGAAAATAGATGTTTATCTCAATGAAGCTTCATCTGTTTAAATCAGTCATAATAATGGGAACTACTATGGGACGCTTATGTGCAATATGCTGCCATTTCTGGAATAGACACTAGGGGCAGCGGTGATACCAGGAAGCTACACTGAACACCCCTGCCTAACTGGATTTGTAGCTGTATATGCTGGTTCTGAGCCACAGAGTTCTGCTTGTTGGAGCAACAGACCAGAAAAACTGATCAAACCAGCAGAGTTTGATAAATACAGGTTTAATTTCAGCTCAGCTGTTTTTTTACATCAAACCGATTCATTTTCCATGATTATTTTGCATTAAAAACATTAAAAAATATATGTACAATCGCTTGTAATACTATAAAGTGAACTCAGAGTAAAAAAAAAACATATATTAGAGTCAAATTTGAGAGAAGTGCTTCTGGGGCTGCAAAATAAAAACCTAACATCATCATCATCTGTCGAGCTCAGCCTGCAGGATCTCTCCCCACGTCTCTGCATCCAGCGGCACCATCTTCCTCTTTAGCAGCTCGTCTGCAGATCTCACCCTGCTGTAGCGTCCCGTCAGCCAGTCTGCCTTCACCCGGCTTCGGGTGTAGTTCCTAAGCAGGGTCACCTGGGAGGAGAGGCAGACGCGTTCAGTTTCAGGTCTACAGGTCGACCAGGCCAGGCCTCCCATTCAGACAGGAAACAGTTTACAGAGCGAAAGAACGGGACGAGGAAAAACTATGGAGGGAATTTTGTTCCATTATTTGGTAAAAACCATAGTGTGTAAATTGAAATTTAAAAAAAGAAAAATGCAACCCAGCAATGAAACTTCTCAATGAAAAAAAGGTTT